TTAAACTATGACATTTAATTACTACTCACATAATATTAACAATAAAATCGAACAGCAAAGTGAAGGCAATATTGCTCTCCTTATCCCTATAACACTGTGCTCGACGCACTGATGTAAGTTATGACTCTCATATTATGAACACAACCTACACTTTTATATTCTCATTCATATAAAACACTCTTTCATTGCGCTTTTATATGACGCTTTTATTCCTTTGATGTGATAGTTCATTATAATATGTAAAGCGCACTTTAAATTTATTGTTCTAAAGTTTAATCTGAATTTAATCTACGCAAATTCATTAAAAAGTTTACTTTTTCATCACTTTAGATAGTGATTTTTTTTAATGTGATATTGGTATAGCATTGTTGCTTATAAAAAAGCTCTGCTTTACTCCAATGCAGCCACAATACTTTAATAATAATAATAATAAATCGATTATTTGCCAATATAGTGGTACAATTAGTTCGATCAACTACAAAAATCCGCACAATCAGTCATTTTAATTATTACAATGTCATATAATATTTAATATATATATATATAATATTTAAGACATACGTTTATTAAACTTGCCATGAAAAATTCTTACGAGCTTATCTAATGTGACGTTGGGCTTTCAATTGTGGCTGCCAAGCATCAAGCCAGCCAAGTACATGGGGCCAAGTAGATCGTATCCCTGACCCATATTAGCCTAAATTTATACTAATATTATTAAGGAAATACTAATTATCACGTGGCTTTAAATTATTGTTGTTTTTTTAATTATATATACTGAATATCTTATAATTTTACAAGGTTAGGCAATTCTTTTTTGGAATAAAAACTTTTTAAAGTTATAACTGTGGAACTTGAATAGAACGTCTCTTTATCATACAATGAAACTGATTCAGCAGAATTAACTCCAACACTGCGACTTTATTATTAGCCTAGATTTTCAAGTTGAAACAATAGACGTCTATCAAGAAGAACCAGAAATCTTAAATTCAAACCTATCTGCTCTGAAAGTTGTTTTTTTTACACCTTTATTTCCAGCCTCTAGGCTCTTTGCGTATTCGAAATTATGTTGCTAGTACTCTCCAAGTTATTCTACATAAACCAGTGTGTGACCTAATAAAATACAGTATTTCAATACTATTTAATAGATTTGTTTCTGCGTTTAAATTATTCAAAAAAAAATGGTTTTATAATTTTTTTTTCAAAAATATTTTTTATTTTCTATTGATAATAAAAAAAATGTAAATCAGTGAGCGACATTCGAAACAACCAGTTTAACCAGATGCATTTGGAGAAGATAGCTTTCTTAGATTTTAATTAACACACATATTCTATTACTGTGTTATTAATAACTCTTCGAAGGAATTAAAGAAAATATGCCGTAGAGTAATTTCTATATCTTCTCTTCACTTTTAATATACTTCTCAATTGTCAATACCAGCACAGTTTTACCAAATCCTAGTCCTAAATTAAGATTAGACTAAGATGTGAAAAGCATTATAAAAACAAAGGAAGACGAGTTTAGAAACATTACTTGAACTACTATTAAGATGCTTTTTATATAAAAACCCAGAAAATTTATATCTTTCAATTAAAAAAGATATTATTATAAAATAGTGCTTAAGCAACCTATTTTCTTTGATCGGCGTTAATTTCCTTGCGGAAATAACGTTCGATGTTTCATAGGAGAACGTATACAAGTTTTTTAATGTGAATTCGTGTTATAAAATCTATTTAGAAGATGAAGATACTTGCTACTTTCATTAATTACTTGTTATTTTTATAGTCGGTTAAGAATAATGAGAAGTATAATTAATATTAACTTAGAGGTTCATTGCTGGTTGCTCTGCAGCCAAATACGTGTCAATCATAGGATATCCTGTGTCCAGAAAAAGGATGTCTTTACCAGTATTGGTCACATATTCAAACACACGTAGTTGTCTTAAATATTATTAGGTTAGCGACCTAGACTAAGTATCTCATAAAACCTGATATGCTTTCTAAAATCCTACAGTTTTCTCTTATTTATGTATTTATCAGATTTAGAATATTGTATGAGAAAACTGTCAAGAAAATTCATAGAGCTTAGTTTATAATATATAATATCTTTATATAAATGCTTCTACTGTACGTTTGTATGTCACTGGACTTCTCTTAAACCGCTGGACCGATTTGAATAATTTATTTTTGTATGCGTTTGTGTAGCGCCCTGGTATATTATTATTATTAGATGGTTAAGATTCACAAATTAGCCCGGCAGATGGCGCGGCTCTGCAGTCGGTACTTTCATAGTTTGTTTAATATCCTAATCGCTTGAAACATCATGCAGGATAACGTCTGTCGGGTCCGCCAGTAGATTATAAAGATATTTACCATGAGTTTAAATATAGATTACTATTATTTTCGTCATAAATTTACATGTCCATATTTAATTCGATGTAATCCAATCTTGCGGGATGAGGGTCAGGATCCAAATATTGGTCATCCATTCTTAGAAGATCAAAGTTGTTAAGCATAGTTGGCACACAGACGAATTTCATACAACTATTAACCTAAACAAATTGATTGTATTAGGGAAAATAAATGACAATTTTGCTAAAATTTCAAATAAAATGTAACTAAGATGTGATCTGTATGATTAATTACGAAACGGCTCTCAATTCGAAGTACTTAAATTGGAGGAAACAAAACATTTTTTCTAGATTGTCTTTGAGTCAAATAAAAAAAATCTTAAATCTTAAAGTAGTAATAAACTAAAAAACTATATTAGTTTCATATAGGTAAGTCTTAAACAATAAACTCAAACAGCATTGCAAAGTAAACTCGAATATGGTCGCTTAACAGTGTTACAGTTCACCCTGCCTTGCGGCACTGCCGTCGTAGTTCTTCCGTTAACGTTTTTTAACTTCTTATCTTTTAATGTCAAGGGAGAAGAATCTTAAATAGGGTATTTCTGACTTAGAACTTTGACGTAGGGATTTTTAAATAACTATAATATCAGTTACTACATGTAACGCAATTTTTTATTCAATTTGTATATAGAAGATGACTGCTATTTGATCCCTGAGCTTATCCTTTTTTCATTCTAAATACGCTCTCGGACCGCTGCTCAGGTTTTCCAAACAAAAATGTACTATTGTGCTCTAATTATTCACTAGTGCAAAGTTTTTGTAAATCATTGGCGTATAATACAAAAATTAGCTTCAGTGTTTAAAAGAAATTCAGTCCATCAATTTACCTTTGCCTATTACAGTATGTATTAAGAAAGAAACATATCAGTAATAAAAACATTTCAGACTTAAAAAACCACTTTTGTATCTGTAGAACATTTATTTGTATTCAAGACAACCTCGACATAGATAACACAAGAAGAATTTTAAGTCTTATTGTGTTGTGCTAGAGTTTAGGCTGTATTTACGGCTAGCCGACTCATTAAATGAACAATTTCAGCTGTGGTGGGATTATTAAACCAGAAAGCCTTGCTAGACACGAGAAACGTTATATTTAAGCTCGTTGGAATTTGTATCTCTAATTGTATTTTACTTATTTACGATTAATATTAATCCAGATTGTATCTGTTGTTTAATCATTTTATTTCGTGGCCAAGTTCCGTCTATGCCTGTCACATTTTAATTCTACGAGTAAGAGTAGAATTACTACACCTGCCTGAACCGAAAAATTTATTGGCAAATTGTTGGGTTTTTGGAGACACGGGTTTTGGTTTGAGAAGTGCGATTCTCTGCTGTTTAAGCCACTGGACTCTGTTGCCTTCTTAAAAATTATTTCAGCTATTGTTAACAAACTATTATTGAAGTGGTTAAATGGTCCCTCTACATCATCACACTCTGTACTATTCACATTCACTAGGTAACTTATCGCCCTTCCTTCAAGTAGATGAGATAGCCAAGATTTAAATTTTCCACTTATACTTTCTCTTCGTGGAAGTTTTTCGTGTGTCTGTCTGTGACATCGTAGCTCCTACACAATGATCCGATTACGATATGATTGTTTTTGTTAGAAAACTGACTTGACCGCCGTGTTCTTAACTACACTTTATGTATTCAGAGCTTTAAAGGTCATCGGTTCTTGTTGCTAGCGGCGTCAAACAACTTAGACGCATATATATAGGTATTTAGTTTTTTTTCAATTAGTTTGTTCTGACATTTGGAATACACAAGTATGCTAGTATGACTGAGCTAGTTTGATGATCGAGTAGTCGGATGCCTGAATTTAGGTATTTGCAGACTCTCTGGGCTTGGTGTGTTGATGATGCAAAAATAACCCTTCCTACAAAAAAGAAGTTTTACAATCACCGAAGAGATAATATAGTTAGTGCTTAAAATTGCTTTGAGATGGCAAGCATCATAGATTCCGCAAAGATGATTAACTAGAAGAGCCTCCTGCCCGTTTGATCCCTATTCCATATAAAATATAGTTAAAATCATTGCCACGTTAGGGACGTTTGATGGAATGGGACTAGAAATACTATTTTTTACTTTAGCTTGTTTAGATTGCACAAGTATTCACCTATTTGTTATGTTGATTGCTTTTCAAAGTCAATTTGAGAGAACTCTTGTTTGACCTATCACGCCTGAGGCAACTTACTAAAGTTATAAGTAACTTTGGAATAGTATACTAAACATATATTATAAATGAGTTTTATGGTGTGTCTTGTGGAATGTAACAATAATTTAACTATGTAATTTAAGGGCAAAAAGTAGGCAATGTATTTTCCAAAGATCTTAATTTGTTTATTTACCAAAATTTATCAAATATTCAATACATTATACGCAACACATCAACTAAATAGAATCTAGTTTTTGGTTATGATGTTATTTACTTTTGTTGCAGATAAAGAAATAGTCGAAGTGGCAGTACGAGACCAATGTTGACCGTATAACAAAGTGATATAGCAAAAAAAGAAACTTTTCATACAGTCGCATTGTATAGATCTCAATGCCTTGTACAAAAAATCATTGCGCTGCTCCTCGCAGGCGCCGACTATGTTTGACTCGACCAAGGGTGCATTGCTAGTGGCGCCCTCTCTCGCTAACAGCTCGTGCAGCTTGAACGGTAAAGGCTGGCCATCGACGTTCCCCGCGACTGGAGATATCATCAAAGCCTTCTTCATATTTGCCTTGTCTATGGCAATCGTCTTTTGTAACTTAGTCCTCATCTGTGTTCTAAATAATAGAAGATATGTTAAGTATATAGAGAATCAGGTATGTTGATAGAAAATCATATTTAAAAGTTCTAAAAGTGTTGAAAAACAAAACTTACATTTGATTTTTTTAAATTAAGGATAATATATTTTTACAGCCACGATATCTGTTAACCTCACTCGCACTGAACGACTTATTTACTGGGATTTTAATAGCACCTGTCGCACTTCTGCCTGCCTTATACAAGTGTTGGCCTTACGGAGAGATATTCTGTCAAATTCAGGTATGATTTCCAGCAGAGTAATAATTCTTATAAGGGTGACACTTACACGTAACAGTCACGTAATCTTTAAGGAATAAATTGCATGATACGCTGTTATTAATTTTACATTTCAAGAGCATCAAAGTGTAATGAAGTTAGAGCGAAGCGGAGCACTGAAGTCCCCAGTAAACCTTATTTAAACAAGAGACGAGGAGAAAATGAGTAAAGTTGTCTTGAAAAAGTTTAAAAGTAAGCGATCAGGTTGATATAATCCTCTTGCCCAATCATAAAATAACGTAGAATTTTCTGTCAAAACAGTGCTCTAATACGAAACTCATGAAATCCTTTTGATAAAATGATGGATTAATCAACACAAAGATGTCAGATAACAATAAAAGCCTTTGTGATGTTCTATTCAAGTCACGAATTATTCAGTCAAAAGATTAAATGCGGATAAAATGTTGGCGGAATCATCGGCTGACAATAAAGCGCGTAAACTTCTATGGTTACAGTTGTTAAGTTAACGGTAATGGCTAACGATGACCGAGCAGAAACTCAATATTTCTTAAAGTTTACGCTTTGTGAAATTACGTTATCACTCCCTTCCACGGACTCTCAATTCCCTGTCAACGGAAGCACAACGCAGCCTTTATATTGCACAAGATGTGGCCACTTACTTCCGTAATATTGTTCGTGATTTCTGCTTCCAACGTCGTGTGCCACATTAGAGAAAGCTGTAAGGACAAATTTGTATTACAGGCTCTTCTACGGGGAGCTGTGAGTCAACAGAGTGCTGTTATTCTAGTCTGTATGGCGATAGACAGATATTTGTATTTGTTACACCCGAGCACTTACCATAAACACTCAAGCAAAAAGGTAAGCGGAAAATAATATTTTTGTTTACTCGTAGAACGCGACTATTGTTGTTCGTTTCCATCAAAGAATAACAAATTAACGTAGAGAAAAGCTCAGTAAGTAAGGAACTATGTATCTTCCTTACTAAGACTATACAATATAGACTTTATTTTATTAATAACACTGAAAAGGCCTGTATACTTTTTGATAAATAAATTACGAGAATATTGCTAACATATACTACTTCCTTGAAGTAATAAATCGCGTTCATAAATACTATGAGATATGAGTCATCCTCTCACGTTATTTCCTTTCAGGGCTGCGTCCTAGTTATAAGTACAACGTGGATTCTATCCGTTTCCTTGTTCGCGATAATGGTGCTACCGAAGTCGGGATATTACTTTAATGCCACTGGTCTAATGGCGTGTGACGTCTTCCATAGTCGAGTAGCATTCAGGTTCAGTCTAACATACTAATATTCTTATTACAGATTTAATGGTCCTCTTTAAAGGCAAGAGAAATAAATCATACATATTGGTTTAATTTTGTTATAAGAATAAAACTTTTCCAGAATTCTCTCCTGCTGTGCCTATTATTTCCCAACCACAATGGCTCTTATGTACTGCTACGGATCCGGGTTCCACGTAAGCAAAACGAGGGGGAAGTGTGAAGATCCGCGGCCAAATGGATTAACTCAGACATGCACTAAGACACACATCGACATTGAGACAGTGGTAAAAATAATATTTACATATTTCTTGAAATGGTTCTATTTGCCTTTTAAAATAGTATTTTACGCATTCTATGTATATTTGAATCATAAAGACGCTAAATCACTGTAAAATTTTAAAGTTTGATGTATTAACTTAGTAATACTTATGATTGCTTAAAAATTTTGTTTTATATACTGGTTTAAGAAAGGCAAATTAATTTATTTATAGCATATACAAGCGCCTATACGACCGCACAGTGTTAGTACATCACGTACTATGGCCGCGATGTCCTTAGGATTTATTGTTATGGTGACACCGGCGACGATACAGGAAGTGGTCGCCGCTTGCACTGGTTGTAAGGTAAAATCGGATTGCTTTATATAAAGTTTAAAATGTTTTGAAGATCAAAGAATATCAAGATATAATATTTAGATTTCATTAGTAATATTAAATAAGATGGATTGAATAAAGGTATATGTAGAGACATATCAATGCTTGTTAATTTTTTTATTATTTACAGGTTCCTCCATCGTTGGATTTTATCGTGACGTGGATAGCCCTAAGTGATAGTTTTTGGAACCCATTTCTCTATTGGCTCCTAAATAGTCATTTTAGACGAATAAGTAACGACCTCCTGCAATATTACGTAAGATTTTTTGTAGACATATTTATTTATTCCTTTCTAATTTATCCTTATAAAAAAACGAAATATATATTTTTAGATTTGCTGTCGGAAAACGAAGTCGTTTCCAGGTTACGACAAGCCTACGGGATGCTGCGGTTCTCCCGTCACATCTGACGGTTTACATTCTAAAGGCGAGTTCGAAGGCCTTCGAGAGAAGTATTGGGGGGAAATTCTAGAACGCACAGTATCTTCTAGTTCCCTACATGCACTTCAAAAAGCCTGCCATAGAGATCCTATACGCTGTACGGGCTCATTTAAAGGCTACCATGGATCATGTAAGCATGGATCCAGATTTTTTGACGGATATGGCCCAACAGAATACCGGCATTTGGACAGATCAGCATTTCAGGTAGAGTCATGCTCGAGACATTGTAGATTAAAAAGTTCAGACATGTGCCTATTTAGACCTGGTGCCTTTGAATGTGGTCGCTCGAGGTCGAATTTGAGCCTTGACGAAGGTAACTTCAGCAAAGCATGTAATAACAGACATTCAGAATTGTGAGAGTTTCGGAATTGTCCGGTTTTCGGGCACAGAAGTAACAGTGTTAGTGTTTATCCCGGGGTAGAACATTTTAACTCTAATATCAAATGGAAGTTCAACGACTCGCCGTGTGACGATGACAACTTTCCGAATTTGGAACATAATTTAGATAGAATACGTAGTTTGAGTCATGAACGGAGCTTTTCATGTGCCAAGGAAATGGAAAATTTATTACAAGTTGAAGTTAACGATTTAACTGAGGAGGATTCCGATGAAAACAAAGAATGTAACGGAGTGCACGAGACAACGGATGACAGAATGGAGTTTAATGGAACACAAAAATTTTCTAGACATTCGTCATTATCAAATAGGGAGTTAGACGTTATCAAAGAGAGTTCTAGGAGTTCGAGTGATACTGAAGTGACTTTAACCCGATGACTTCCGAGAGTCACTTTCGATCGGGCAATCAATGTTGTGCATTTGAATATATCTCCAAAAAAGGCACGCGTTTGTGAAAGATGTGCAAAACAGATAGTGATGTAACATCTGTATGAGACTAATAGAACTTGGTCTAGGTTTTGTAAATAATACAATTTATTTCTGTATAGTTGAACTTATAAAGAGTACAATACTTTATCAGAAATATTAAATTTAGTGCCATGTTTTAAATGTTAAATCATTAGTTTAATCTATATAAAACTAACGGTATTAGCTAAAAAAGCATTTTCATTTAGTAGTCTCATTTAAATGCCTGATTTAGTTATTTGTACTTCACTATATTAGTGAGTTTCTCCTAATTTAAGTATAGAATCTTGTAAATTGTATAAGAATATAGATGTGAAAAAATAAATTAAACGATCTTGAACAATCTTTCTCCAAATCCTGTAGGGATTTTATATTTTTTTGTAATTGTTTGTAAATATTTAGATAAATAGGTAATATAAGAATATAGATATTTGTTAAAACTAAGAGAACTTTATCTTTCATTTTCGTTAGCTCATTTTAAAATTATTTACAACTGATTAATTTTAACTTTTTCCATCAATATACTAAAAATATTTTTTTCTATTACCTATGTATATATTGAGCTAATTTACAAGTAACTTTAGACTGATAAACTTATGTCTCTGGTTGTATGTAAAGATATTGTGAACATTTTCGAGTCGCACAATTATTTCTGTGTGAATATAATGTCAGCTGAACAAATTTCATGACTGCGTGGAAAATAAATAAATTTATATAATTTTGTTGTTTTATTATCTCAAACAAAATACCAATTAACACAGAATAATTTATGAACCTATTTTAATATCGCTAAAGCGATATAACATTGATACAGATGACAAAACGTAACTTACGTTACATATTGGGGTAAATAAGTTACGATGTAGCGTAGCGATGTAGCAAATTCGTAGATAGCTGCGACCGCTAAGTTAGTGTTACTTAAGTACTACAATATGCAAATGTCATATTATTATGTTGATAGTACCGATATTTTAATTTTATAAACCGTCTGGGATGGCTACGCGCTTATTAATAAGGCTTAAGTTCGATTTCCGCCCAAACATATTTGGGTCTTAAAGCCCAGAAAGGTTTTTGGAGTTTACTCCTTAAGAAACGATTTGAGTTATAAGGCCCGGTACGGAAATTTTATGAGGAGTAAAATCAAGTGTAACACGAAAAGTTGAGGCGTTATGTAGAAAGAGACAAATGGATTGAACGTGTAAAAAAATGAGATGGAATACATTACACAGACTTTTCTATTTTGAATTCACGTTTTGACAGCCACGTTACAACATTGTTAGTGTTGACAGGTGTAAAAAATAAAAGTTGATTGTCTAGCGTGCCATAGAGTTTTGTCAATAGTAATGGTCAGTGAAATTAAAAACTAAAAAGATTGTTCATTCTTATTCTTCTCTTACTATAAAGGTAACTTTGGTCACAGAAAGAAAATCCTATTTGGGCATAGATGATGTAGGTACGTTTTATTACTACTACAAACATTTCTATTATAAAAACATAATTATATTCTTACCACCTTTAGTATGAAAATATGGTCGACAGCCAAAGAACATTATCGCCATTTTATCGTCCGTAAGGAGTAAACTCCAATCGTGCGTCGTAGCGTCGTAACACACACACATTTTTTTTATAGAATTGGGGGCAAACAGGAAGAAGTTTCACACGATACAGCCGCCCATGGACACTATTAATGCCAGAGGGCTCGATACTGTGTTGTCGATAGTCGAATTGGTTCGGAAATACTGTTAGTATAGCGGGCAGTTACTTCCACCTAGTGGTGGTACGCGGCTAAGAAACTGCCTTAAAAACGCACATTTATCTAACGATGGACGTCCAGGTGATAGGGGTGAAATTTCGTATTCTGCCTCGACGTTCGATGATGAAACTCCAGATAATAATCCGAACAACTCCTCTGAACCCTTTCCATGGTAAATGCGGTAAGATACAGAGTGACCCCATATCTGTACGCAACACCAAAGGATCAAGCCGCTCGGAAATCTACTGGTCGTCGATGATTCGAATCGCTTTTTATTGAATATGGTCAGGTGGGAGGAGCTGGTACTGGGGAGCCCCCGCCCAGAGGTGAGATAGTACTCCATGTGGGGCCAAATTTGCGCTTTATACAGTTGCAAGCGGTGGCCTGGAGTGAAGTACCGTCTTGTCTGGCTGAGCACACGAAGCTTCTTGGAAGCTAATTTAGCCTTTCCTGATAAGTAACTTGTCTGTAAAGAAAAATAGGTAGTAATTACACACAGAGATATTTCTGTCTCGTGTTTAATGACTATGCGCAAATAGAAGTTAAATATAAACTACGTATATACAATATACATATAAAGGAATATTATTATGGATTTTTTCTAAATGAAAACACAAAATTGTTTCTCTGAAATACAAAGAAACGACATTTAATGTCCACTTATCTATTTTTTACACTATAATCCACTAAATTAATTTACACGTCATCCGCCATTTTATCGCGTGTCACTCCGACGCGTCAAATTCAAATTAATGAAATATCATTCCATTACATCTCCCCTAGAGAAAAAAATTCTGAATAATATATCTACACACTATACTTAATAGCTATCTTCATATTCGTTTTCCTTATATTTCATCTTCTTCAGATTCTGTTGTAACCGGTTGTAATTTTGTTATGTGGAACAGTTGATTTGTTTTTCTGTTACCAGTTCAATCCTATAAATGGAGTTCGATATTTTCCCTACTATCTTAAAAGGACCTATTTTTAATTCGTCTAATTTCTTTCTATTCAGTTATTTCCATTCTCAACATATACACTGTCGCCTATATTAAACTCTTGCATTTTTCTTTTTCTATCAAATATTTTCTTATTGTACTTGTGGGATTTTATTGTATTTTCTAATGCCATCTTTTTCAGCAATCCACTTTTCTCCTTCTATTATTTTTAATTCATTTGGTAGAATGCTGACATTTGTACCATCCAGTAAATATTTTGGTGCAAAACCTGTAACGGAGTGTTCTGTTTCATTTCTTACACATTCTCTTGCCACTGTTTCCATGTTCTCTTATTATTTTTCTCATTTATTCTACATCTTATTTTATTAACTATTGTTTGATTTAACCTTTCATTCAAGCCATTTGAGAATGGTGTATTCACAGCTGTAAAAATTAATTTAACATTATTTTATGTAGATATTGCTTAAATTCTCTTGAATTGATGCCTGATATTGATCTGTCAAAATTATTCCAATCTCATCTGTTTCTAGTACATTCTTTGTTAGTTTTATAAAATCACTTGCATTCTGTGTTTTTGACGTCACAATAAATGCATATCTTGTATAATGGTCTACTAAAAGGTGTAGGTACTTTTTGTTGATCTAGATCCTCCAAAGCCACCTATAGTATCCATTGACATTATCTAAATGGTTTTGTTGCTGGTCCCAGTTGTGACATTAATCCAAATTTTCCTTGACCTCTTGATTTATTTTTTTATGCATATTTCACATGTTTTACAAATATTTATGATATTCTTTGTTAGGTTTTTAGCTGTGTATATTGACTTATTTTTTTCTGCAATTGTCTGATCCCAATATGGCATAACTTCATGCACCTTTTTGATAAGTTTCTTACTAAATTCTTCTGAGAGGATAATCTTTTCATGTTTCTTTATTTTCTTATAATATATTGTATTTTTTTGTATTAGATTTTCTTTATTTTCTTCTATTGTTTCATTTTGCTCTTGATCTTCAACTATATCCTTTATTTGTATTAAATTAACTATTTTCAATAATTCCTCTTTGTTATCTTCTGATTCTAATACAGGATTTCGGCTTAAACAGTCTGCTTCTACATTTTCTTTACCAGGTATATATTTTACCGTAAAGTCGTATTGAGACAGGTAGTATTGAGATCACCCAATTCTTCGTCTGTCCTGCATTTAATGTTCATGTTTTCTAAAGGTTTGTGGTTAGTAATAGTGAATTGTTTTCCAATGAGCCAGTGTTGCCAGTATTTGACTGCTTTTTCATAGCAAAACATTCTAAGTATATGCTTTTTTCCGTTTTTGAGATTCATTCAGTTTTTTTGAAAAATATGACTGGTTTGTCATTACCGTCCAGTTGTGTTTGTTTTAATATTGCTCCGATACCCTCTAAGGATGCATTGTAAAGATTTTTATTGGTAAGTCTTTGCATATATTTCCAATACCGGTTGAGAACATAAATATCTCTTTATTTGATTAAATGATCTTCACACTTCTCTGACCACACAAACTTTTCGTTTTTTCTTAATAATTTATGTAAGATCTAAGATAATCGCGTCCTTGGTATGTATTTGGTAAAAGTTAATTTTTCCCAAAAATTGTTGATATTTTTGTGTCTTCGGAGTTGGAAAATGTTTTATCGAAATCAAATTATCTTTTAACGGTCTTACTGAGTTGTTTTGAATTACATGGCCAAGATACTTACTGAGTCTGAGGCAAAGGTACACTTCATAAACTTCAATCTAAAGCCTTCTTTTATTATTGCCTCTAATACATTTTTTATGTGTCTTAATGGTCCTCAAAAGTAGAGGATAGATAAAATGTCATCAATAAATTTACAGAGTATCCTGTGAGATTGTGCTTTCTCAGAATATTACTTAAAACTCTCTGGAAAATTGCTGGTGATGTTTTTAAACCAAAAGGAAGGCAGGTCCACTGAAAATGGCCATCTTGTGTGACAAATCCTGTTTTATATCTATCTTCCACCCGTAGTGGTATGGCCCAAAATGCTGAGTTTATATCAAGAGTAGTAAAATACTTACAATTTCTTGTCTTAATAATTAAATCATCTATTAATGGGAATGGTTGAGCTTGTGGTACAACAATTTTGTTAAGTTCTCTAAAATCTATACATAATCGAGATTTTCTATTTTCACCTTTTTTAAATGCTAATGTC